CACCGTACGAGAATCGTCGATGAATATTTAGAAGAGGATTGTCCGCATGAATTGACCAGCTCGCAGTCCCGACCTCAATCCAATCGAGCATGTATAAGACATGCTGGGAAGATGAATTCGATCACAAATACCTCGCCCAAACAACTTGGCTGACCTTAATGAGCCGTACATGAAATATGGGAGAAATTCCACCAAATGGACATTCAAAATTTAATTTCATCAATGCCGAGACAGAGTCTTATAAAGGCCCGCTTTAATTTTGATATAATCATTTTTCTATTAACCCTGGAGTGGTGGCGCCGAGTCTGTGAGACTTGAGCGTTTTAAGATCGCGTGGGGAAAGGCAGGGTTGCAGATATATAAAACCGATTCTCGGTACCTTCCTAACATTCAGTACATTACCGTTTGCAGCAGTTAAAACATCAGTTATATTTTTCTATAAGACTTGGTGTGCCGTTCGGCGCCACCACTAACGTAAAATTAATTTCGTATAATATAGATATTATTTATAGTTTGCGTGCTTCCTGTTTACCTCGTAAAAATGTTTTCCCGGTAAGTAATAGAACACTATTTTTACGAAATTAAAGTTAACATAATTATACTAATATTTAACATATTATTAACAATAATAATAAAAATAATACCTAATAATAATATTTACATTATGTATATATACGAGCCCTAACCACATAATGTTCGGACACTTCATAATTTATACAGAAATTTTTTTCGTGAATACTATCTCAAAATTATTAGAAGTTATGAAAAATTCAGCTTATTTTGGCATATACCCCTCGAAGCGATTTTTATTTTTAAAAAGTTTACCTTTTATTTTTAGCTTTTAAAAAAAGGCTAACTTTTTAACTTTTTTTTGTATGAGTAAAAAAAGTTATAAATGGACCCATTAAAAAGAGCATAAAATATTATACAAACCCTGAAAATTTGGTAAAAAATAAATAAGTTATAAAAAAGTATAAGTAATTTAAAAATGCTATTTTTAAAGAGTTTTTGCAATTTTCTTAGGAAACGGGAGATTTTGCAGATATATATATCGCTATAACTTTCTTATTATTTATACAATTTTTACCAAATTTTCAGGGTTTGTATAATATTTTATGTTCTTTTTAATGGGCCCATTTATAACTTTTTTTACTCATGCAAAAAAAAGTTAAAAAGTTAGCCTTTTTTTAAAAGCTAAAAATAAAAGGTAAACTTTTTAAAAATAAAAATCGCTTCGAGGGGTATATGCCAAAATAAGCTGAATTTTTCATAACTTCTAATAATTTTGAGATAGTATTCACGAAAAATATTTCTGTATAAATTATGAAGTGTCCGAACATTATGTGGTTAGGGCTCGTATGTAAAGAAAAATATATATAATAGTTACAGAAATTCAGAAATCTTTTTAATTTTGACCATATTTTTAAATAAAATTACATAACTTAATAATAATAATAAATAAATTTATTTTTATTATAAATTTTGTTTCTTATTTTAGTTTTATAGCTGGTTCTTCTTAATAATATTCCCGATCTGAAAAAATATTTTTAGAAAAACGTTTCCTATGCTTAAATATACACATGGATCGATTTTTTTGCACCTGAGTGTATTTATCTTCCAATAGTGGGAAATTTTTAGCTAGTTCAATACGAGGTTTGGAGGTCAGGGTCCGAGGCACCCCTGAGCTTGGGCACAGCACCGTCTAGCCCTTCGGTAGCTACGCCACTGGCCAATCCCAATACATGGCCATAGGGAATTCTTTAAATTGCTAGGATACTTAGGATGCATTGTTGATGTTATAATATGTTCCTGTCATTATTTATCATTTTAAGTTGTTTTCCTCCTCTGATTATGCCGAAATAATTATTTTTCTACTCCTATTACGGAATTTGACCCTTCTAATATACTAATATACAGAATGAAATATTCTATCATCTGATGACAGAATAAACACTCGTGGCGACATCTCTGTTTTTAATATCTAACAAATTTTAGACCGATCCAACCTCACTTTCTTCCAATTAAATTATTTTTCTATGGTATTTTTTGGAAACGTAGAAAAACTATAGTCTGAAACACGTTTGAAATTGCATATTCCGATCTCGTGAAACCGTCAAACTCGCCTTCGGCTCGTGTGACAAACTCTTCACTCGAGCGGAATATGCTGTATTCCAAACTTTTTATAGAATATACTATTATGGGGGGTATAGGCGCAATACTAAGAAGGTTGCACGAGTTTTTTCTCAGCGCTTTCCCGATTGTCCCCTGGACTGCGTTGTAACGAAATTGAAGGTGCTTCTTAACGTATTAGAAGCTATTTTCAATGCCTTTGATGCAAATATTAGGACGAGCATAAGGGGAGTTGCAGGCGAATTTTCCGTTTACAGTTCAGCGGGTTATGAAGGACGTTCGAATTCTGTTGTGGTTGCTAGAGATTTTGGCTCTGGGGTACAGAACTAGTTTAAATTTTACTTTTAAACAGTAAATTTAACCTATTCTCTTCTATGGTACCTAGATCTTAAGTAATTCTTTAATTTCTTTTAAGCTGAAAAAGACCGTTCAACTAATAAGTTTGATGCTGTTAACAGCATTCGGAGATCAATTTCGGTATACGACCTTTTTTGTTTGACATTTTGATTGAAGAGCATTTTGAATAATATTTAATAATATCGTTTCAAGACTTTTTAACCAACTGGTAAAATTTTTTGATAAGTATAATCGGTTTATTATGTGGGATATTATATAACACCTCCAATACAATTGTTCTGGGTATTCTTCGCATCGATTTAAAATAAGTACTGTGAGAACATGTTTTAAAAAACCCACACAAAACTAATGCACATGCCATGTGGGCAGTTGAGAAGAGTCAATAAAGATTTCACTCATTTTTTTAAACTAGCAAGTAAAGAGATTGAATAAAAATTGAAAGAAAATTGAATGACAAAAATTTTATTGGTGGGTTTTAATACAAATTTGTATTTTTTTTACTAATAAATTGCCAAATGAATCATAGGCATATTATGGTCATATGCTAAATATTTATGTATTAGCAGACTTTATTAGCAGGGGCAGCCCCAAATTTTTGTGTACAACTTTTTTTGTAAGTTGGCTGCAGAATATAAAAATTTAGGGTTTAATACGTAAAAAGGTACTCTTTTTGCACATCGATAAAATGCACCATTTTCGAATAAAAAGAAAATTAAAAATTAAAAAAAAACTGTATTTTTTTCTTTTTCAATTTAATATATTTACCTAACAAGAAATTTTAATACGTGTACTATTTTCGGGACACCCTGTATTTTATTTTTATATTTTAATATCATGTTTAAAATTGATTTTTAATGTGATTTAACTTTCGTTAAATCACATTAAAAATCTACATACTTTAAAGTATAATAATTATATTATATTATATTATATTATATTATATTATATTATATTATATTATATTATATTATATTATATTATATTATATTATATTATATTATATTATATTATATTATATTATATTATATTATATTATATTATATTATATTATATTATATTATAGTTATAGTAATAATATTGTTATATACCTATGTATGTATTTATTTTGTATATACATATAATAATAAATAATAACCTTGTCTCACAAAATAGTTTTTTGTTTATTTCAAGAAATGAATAAAAATTACTCATAAATTTGTAAGGAAGTGAGTCATATTTATTAGTAACTTAATTTAATATTTAAAATTCCATAAACTTAAATTTTACCTTACATAGGATGCATCAGGTGTGCATGTATAGATTCAATAGGTACAGGTAAAATATTATAATATACTTACCTAATATTCAAAAATAAAATTAATTTTGTAATGCAATATTTTCTCGGTCTTTTGGAGTTTTTTACCAAACCTCTTTAGTATACCCAATTATTTTATTAAGTATATATTAATAATAGCTAAGATATTATCTTAATTTCCCACATCTGTTGTGAGTCTGTTTAACGAAGGAAGTAAACATCCATGTAGTAATCCCTATTTATGAGCCCCCAATGAACTGCAATGTTGTACATATTTAGAATTTAATGTCTTGGGCAAAAATCTATTTTTGGTAGGTACTGTTCCTTGCAGGTAATATTTTAACATAGAAAATGACTCAATGTAAAATGAACATTGATTCATTTTAAGTGCAATACCTACCTATACTTTTATATATTTACTTATTGAAAATGTTATCAAATATTTCACCTATTTTTACATCCTATTTTTAATTCCATTTTTAAGATGGATTTCCAGTGAGTTGTATTTGGCACATTATTGTATACTTATTTACATTTGCCATCGTTTTCCGGGTAAACTATTGATTGACATTTTGAGTTTATGGCCTATTTCCTTTGCAATATTCCATTTGATACTTTTAACATCGATTCCCATTTTAACTAACATGTAGGAAAATTAATTTAAATAAATTTTTAATCGGCAAGTTTTTTTAACGATTACGGGATGACTCTTTAATTGGAAAAATATTTATATATAAAAACCTATTTTCTTTTTTTTTTCAATGAAAATTAGGAAACAAACGAAAGTAAACATGTAGGTATTAGGTATACACGCAAGCGCTATTTAAACACCTACTCAATAGGTATTGTCATAGCTCATGTTACTTTAAAATTAAATATTTCCCTTAACATATAAATTTTATTATGTTATACCTCACATATAAAAAAATTGTAAAAGAAAATTTTCTTACATAGTAAAAACATTTGAGAAAACTATACTTTTTAAGGTAAGTAAGTAGGTATGTATATATTTATTAATAATTTTGCATAACCAAATTTAAATAAAAATTAATTATTTTAGTAAGGAATTAAATATTTTGTTAATCCATAAACATAACTATATATCTAAATATATATACTATAATCTATATATCTATATATATTCTATAGTCTAAAATGCATACTTTCTTATCTTAAGATTATTTAACTATCTATAAAGTTCGTACGAAATTTAACTTACCCATATTTTCCCTTAATATTTCAATAAAATAACTTAAAAAGCACGATTTCACAGCATAATTGTTAATTTTTACAGCACACACCTTCGGAGCACCAGCACTGACTAAATAAGGAAAACAAATCAACGACCTCTGTTGTTTAATACTCTAAAGCTTTAGTAAAATTAAAGAGCGAGTGTTAAATGCATTCTTCGTCTCCCACGTTGCCGATGTTTCCCGAAGCGCTTCCCTTTTGTTTTTAACGGTTCAATATAATAACGCTGAGCAGTGTTGCCAGGTGTGGAATAATTTTCCTACATCTAGGGAATTAAACCCATTTAGGGAAAAAGGGAGGAATTGTATAACACCTTGGGAAATTATATTTTAAAAACGAAGAAAATTTAAATATTGGCAAACTCTAGAGCACTTTGTCATTTGGAGCACACTATTTATACATAGGCTTTTTTAACAAATCCACGTCACCATTTAGGCTCTAAAAAGGTAAGGATTAGAGGTGGGCCGGTTTGCGATTTTTCAAGAGCTGCGATGCAATGCGACTGCTCCAGCCGGAACACTGTGACAAAAAGCAGCGATTTTTCGAAGCAATGCGATTTGCGATGCTCCAGAGCAGTTTTGCTTGAGCAGTGCTACGGTAAAAGCAAAACACTGGCGAAAGTGCGAACGGCGAAGCAACTAGAGATAAGCGATATTTCACGAACTGTGATTTTTTCACTGATATTTAAAAATCACGAATAACGACTGCTACTTACATCTATTAATTAGCGTCTGTGATTTTTCACTCAGCGATATTTTACGAATGGTGTTTTTTCACTGATATTAAAAAGTATTAAATATTAAATAATAACGATAAAACCGTAAATTGCTATTTATCACAATAATTTAACATATTATTTAACATAGTATTTTCGGCCGCAGGCAAACCTGCCATTACTGGCAAAAATAGAACAAAAAAATTTGAAATAGTTTTTTAAACGCCCGTATAAATAAGATTTTAAATGCCCGTAAGTATTAGGACAGCATAAAGTCGAATAGGTCTGACTGCTGCTGAAGAGAGCAACAGCGACGGCCTGGTATAATTAAAATTTCGGAGCAATTTAAATTTTAAATTGCTCCGAAATGTCGCTGCGATTTCTACTGCCGCGGAGCAGTTTGCGATTGCGACGCCACCGGAGCAGTGACAAAGTAGCAGTTTGCGAAATCGCAACACACCTCTAGTAAGGATATAACATAATATGTTATACAGTGTGATCAAAGAAAATCAGTATAATTATTTAATTTACGACAAAAAGTCATTCATTATAAAAAGTTCTGCTTGTTAAGAAAATTAATTTACAATTTGTGATCAGATGTGCAGGGTATTAATAAATTGAGAAAATATTAAAATGCTTTAAGAGATCAGTAGCATTCCCAAGGAACACATTTTTGCCACATAAGAGTTGTAGAAATGCTTGTAGAACTTTACTTAAAACTGTGCTTAAACATCATATAGTAGGTTTGGGATTTTGTAATAATAAATGAAACTTTGCAATGGTATATATAACAATGGTATATATAACGAATACTATTATTAAACTCTTAATCCATGTAGTTATTTTGGAGTTTTAATAGCTTAAGCTATTAAATGTAAATTTACATAATAAAATTAAAAAAATTAACTTTAAATTATAGGTACATTTGTTATATAAAAGTTATAAAAACTATACTTAGCTAAGTAAGTCCTACCTATAGGTCCTATAGGACCTTTAAAAAATTAATTTTATATTTAAGAGTTAACATTATGTTAAAATATGTAATTACAGAGTTTTTAAAGCTAAATACCAAATTTATATTAAATTGTAACAAAATGTATAATAAAATAAAACATTATATAATATATAAAACTTTATCACTTTAATGGGTTAACGCATTAAAGTAATATTTTATGATGGATGGTAAAACGTATATGTATGGTAAAACGTATATATAAAATTCGTATTCATAGGTAGGTATTTTGTAAATCAGCCATTTCTCTTAGAATTTCTTCAAAAATAAAATTTTTAAGGGACAACAAAATACGTAAAATGTAATGCAAATAACAATTATTTAAAACAATTACAATTTTTCTTATTTCTTATTTGAAATTAATATACCTATTACATTTTACAATTCGGCTTTAACTTAAAAATTATAAAATATTAATAATTTTTAATAAATAATAAAATGGCCTCCCTTATTGCTTTCTTTTTCATGTCTAATATGGCTTCCGGCGACACCATAAGTTATGGTCCATAACTATGTTATAACTATTTTATATCATGTAATAGATTAGTTGCATATTTAATGTTTCATTAAGGTTTTATAAACATAATTATATAAAATATGAAAAGACTCGTGCCACGAGTCTCGTGGTTGTAGTGGTCTTTAAAGTTTTACCCGGGGAAGTTCAAAAAGATTTCCAGCTCTATCATCTCAATCGAAAAATAGTAGTTTGTCCAACATCAGGTAATCAATTTTTAGATTTTCCAATGGTTCTTCAGTTAATAAGTTAAAGATGAAGTTAAAAATTATTTGAATAATACAAAACTGGACAAAACTCTGATAGAATAACAATGATTTAAATGAATAACAAAATGGTTCCTAAAATGGGTTATTAAATGAAGGTGCAAAATTATTCATATATTATATCACGAGAACTATGAATTTAATCGGTTAAACTGGGCTCAGTAGTTTTTGTTTGGTTTTTGTTGAAAAATGTTGAATGCAAAATAATTTAATAAAATCAAGAGACCGCGTAGCGGTCGAGGGGTTTTATTTTTAATTATTTTGGATGAAACTATTTTCCAAAAAGAAAAATCCAATAAAAAACTTAACCCGGCACCGGACAGGTGGGGTTTTATAGACCCCACGTTAATGTTAGGCGCCATTATTTCTGTATTATTGTGCTTGTGCGCCTACGCGTTTCAGTAGCCTCCCCTTAGTATCCTTCTAGCTAATGCGTAGCGCAGTTTAGTTTTTATTGCGATTTCGTCGAGTGCACTTCGTTTTAAACTCGTCTGGGGTCAAATAGACCCCACCTGACCGTTTACGTGACAATTTTATAGAACTTTGCTTGTTAGTCATTTTGTGAATTTTGATCATATTTGTGATATAATATATCACAAAATATCCGGCTGAAGGACCTCGGTCAATGGCCATTTGTAAGAAATTGTATAAACTTTTTTTTGCAATAAAGTTCATTTATTATTATTATATCACAAACATGATCAAAATTCACAATTCAATATTTGTTTTTAAGAATTATGGCTTGAAACACCTACGAAAATGAACGAAAGCGTCCCTTAGAACTTTGGGCAGAGCTATATGAAGAAAAAGAATAAAATTATTATTTTTTTACTGTATAATTTTTAATTTTCTTTTTAGTTGTTTTATAATGAATTTTGTTTTTTTCTTGCATATTCATTGTATTTGTAATGAATCAGATTTACTTTAGTTTTTATTTAAAAAAAAAAAATAAATGATATTTTCCTAAAAATGAGGGTACCGAATTTTGTATTTTTTATTAACGCAGTTGTGTGTAATTTTATTTCCGAAATCAACGGGGTTTTATTTAACTTAAATATAAGAAAAATACTTTGTTAGCATGAAAGTTACAAATTGAGAATAATACAAAATATACTATAGTATATATACACAAAAAAAGCCTAAAAAGGCAGATCAGAAATATATATTTTGTTATAAAAAACATTTAAGCTATTGTCACGAAATAAGAAAATATTATTTATTGATTAATTAATTTTACTTTATTTTAATATAATAATTATTTTCCCACATAAAAGCAACAGGAAAGTTTCAGATTATTTGATTCTCAAATATATTTACGTGGAAATTTATTGTGAGAAATGCAATCTTGCAATAATCAGCAAACATGTATTTCTTGTGTATATGACGTAGTGTTCTAGTTTTGTATATAAACCCATATTGCTTGTAATGTAGATTCATTCAGAAATAAAGCCGTTATAATGTAAGTTTGGCCTTTTAACCATACGTCACCCAACAGTCCCAATCATCGATGGTGGAGTCCCTCCGTCGTCACATGGTGGAGACCCACTTCGTCACATGGTGGAGACCTCGTCGTCACACTATGATCGATATAAGTAGTTTTAATTACCATGACCCTAATAAATTAATTTTTAACAAAAAATACCTAAAAATTAAATTTGGCCCCAAATAGACGCAAATAGATTTGGGGTCCATGGGACCCCACCTGACCGATCTCGTAACTTTTGGTCACCTGTCCGTTACCGGGTTAATGAGCATAGTTTGACAGATTAAATTTATACGTTGAGTGATATACGTTTAGATTATTTCTCGAATTAAAGGAAACTATTTGACAATTCATAAAATCTGACGTATATGTCAAAATTTATAAATATTTTTTTAAAGAAAAGTCCATTAATTTAAGGTATGTAATAAGTAATAATTGATATTTCGTAAACTAGATAACTTATTTTTTATTGTATTTTAAAAAATGTAAACAAAAATCCAATATGGAGGCTAAAATTTAATCGCTGTTAAATAGTTCTAGTGATTTAATCGCTTATTTAAACGAAATTTATTCGAAAATTCAAGGCTTTTGATTGGTTTATATTATAATGAGGGAAATAATCATTTATAAACCCTAATACATTGTTAAACATTTGGGTTGTATAAAAGACAATAAAGCTTACACATATTTTTAAATAATTAATTAATAAAAAGTTGTAGCAATAACTTGAAACAACGAAATAATGTTGTTTTATTCAGCCTTCTCTAAAAAATATTTTCAAATATTAAAAGCTAGGTACTTTTTTAATTATATGTTAACTGTAATGTAGAGAGGGGATATGGCGAGCACCTAGAAAAATTATCCATACAATAATTTCGAACCAATATTTCGATTTTAAATTTGGAATGGAAAGACCAAAGTCTAACGATTATTCACGCATCAATTCAGAAATAAAACTCGACTAGTTTTTCCAAAAAATATTTTTTTACCAAAGTGGTTTTGGTCGTCATTTACGGGGTAATTAAGACCAAGTGCAGGGTAATTAGTACCAAGTGCTGCAGTCGCATTTGACTTGCTATAAGAAATTTGACTTATGTTGCTATAAAAAAATTAACTAAAAGTAACATATATTCTATAATAATAACAAAAAAAGAAGATATTAAATTAAATATTCTTGTAATATGT